TTCCTTTGACCCACAGTCTTGATATTTGGTATTTAGATTGGTCATCATTAGTAGATGATTCCTATTGATTTTGAGATTACTGGGTCAAAGGTCAAGGTCACAAGGGCCTTGATGTAATAAAGCTTGTCTGCCAAATAACTGAAGATTCCTTTGACCCACAGCTTCATATTTGGCATTTTGATTGGTGATGATAAGTAGAATGATCCCTATGAATTTTAAGGTCACCAGGTCAAAGGACAAGGTCACAGGGGCATTGACTTCAAAAAACTTGTCCTCCCAATAACTTAAGATTCCTTTGACCCACAAGGTTCATATTTGGTATTAAGATTGGTTGTCATAAGTAGATGATCCCTATTGATTTTGAGGTCACTGGGTCAAAGGTCAAGGTCACAGGGGCCTTGATGTCATAAATCTTGTCTGCCCAATACCTTAAGATTCCTTTGACCTACAGTCTTCATATTTGGTATTTAGGTAGATGATCCCTTTAAATTTTGGGGTCAAAGGTCAAGGTCACAGGGGCCTGGACTTCAAAAAGCTTGTCCGCCCAATAATTTAAGATTCCTTTTCTCATGATTAATAGATGACCCCTTTTGAATTTGAGGTCACAGGGGCCTTGACTAAAAAAAACTTGTCCGCCTAATAACTTAAGATTCCTTTGACCAGAAGTCTTCATATTTGGCATGGAGGTAAGTCATGATCATAAGGTGACCCCTATTGATTTTGAAGTCTTTGGGTCAAAGGATAAGGTCACTGTGGCCTTGACGCAATAAAGCTTGTCTGCTCAATTGCTTAAGAATGTTTTGGTCAACAGTCTTCATATTTGGTTAATTAGGTTGTTTATGATTACTAGATGACCCCTTTTGATTTTTAGGTGACTGTGTCAAAGGTCAAGGTCACAGGGATTAAACTATAATAAGCTTGTCTGCTCAAATGCTTTAGAATGCCTGTCGGCAGTGCATTGATTTTGTCATTTTCACATTTGAAGCATGTAGAATACATAACTTAGCATTGCTCTGGCTTAGTAACCTCAGATTTGGCAGGGAGGTTGTCCTTGAGTTCTAAATGGCCACTGTTGATTCTGACAAAGTGGTATGCGGGGGAACTCATGCCATAACAGTGGCAGTTTTAGTTGTGGTTGCACACATTCAACTCAAATTTGACATATGGAAATCATAGGAAAATGCAGGTGCACATTCAAATTTATTCATAGTCTGATGATTTTTGACAGAGTTATGCCCCTTGATAAAATTTTCAGTTTCCGTTCATTATCTCCCAACCGTAGTACACAATCAACTCAAATTTGACATATGGATGCGTCAAAGGAATGTGCAGGTCAAGTTCGAATTTGGTCATGATTTTTGGCTGAGTTATGCCCCTTTCACTTTTAAAAAAAACTTCATATTTCTTTCATTATCTCCTTAACAGTTGCACACATTCAACTCAAATTTGACATAATTATGGATACGTCAAAGGTATGCACAGGTCAAGTTCTAATTTGGTCATGGTTTGATGATTTTTGTCAGAGTTATGCCCCTTTTGCTTTGAAAAAAATTCAGGTTTCGTTCATTATTTCCCCAACAGTTGTACACATTTAAGTCAAATTTGACATATGGATACGTCAAAGAAATGCACTGGTAAGTTCAAATTTGGTCATGGTTTAATAATTTTTGGCAGAGTTACTGCTCTTTAACTTAAGAAAAAATAAGAAATTTTCTGTTTCCATTCATTATCTCCCCAACAGTTTTACACATTCAGCTCAAATTTAACATATGGATATGCAATAATAGGAATGTGCAGGTTAAGTTTGAATTTGGTCATGGTTCGATGATTTTTGATAGAGTAATCCCTCAAAATTAGAAATACTTAGTTTTTGTTTCATCATTTCCCAAACAGCTGCACACATTCAACTGATATTTTACATACATTTTACTGTCTGTCAGTTTGTTTGTCGGTAGACCACATGGTTTCCGCTGATTATCTTGAAAACTATTTATCACAAACTCTTCATATTTCACATAGTGATTGGTCATAACTAGTAGATGACCCAATTGATTTTGGGGTCACTAGGTCAAGATCACAGGGGCCTTAAATGATATTTCATAAAAACGAATTAATTTTTTTCTAGGGTGTCAAAGAGTTTTGGTAATATTTATAAAGAAGGACTTAACACTAAGTTCCTGATTAAATATAAGGCATGTAAATGCAATATAAATAGTGATTTTTTTCTCCCCAAGTTTTACAACTTAACACTTATGTACATTTAAATTAAAATAATCGCCTGTCAATATCGTTGCCGCCATAGTGTACAGCGCTAGGAAAATTTTGTTAAAATTGGGGTCCTGTGCTTCAAATCCATCGTATTGTTGATGTTATTGAGTATTGAAATAAAATATTATGTTTTTTATGTTCGCAAGGTGCCCATACATAACTTGTAAAGAAATATACTTTTTGAAATTGATAAGATGATTGAAAATTTGGAGCCCCCCTTTTAGTTTTACTAATGTATATGATAAAAGAAAGTAATAATATAGCAAGTTTCTTTTTAAAGAAACATGTCAAAAAAGATTAATAGCCTCTAAAATTAAAACATTGCTGATGGGAACATGTATTTCACAATGGGGAAAAAAGAGTATTGTAAAAACAAATTAATATTTCGTTAAAAAAATTTTTATTTAGTAATTATGAAATAATATTTCATTTTTACGAATTAATATTTCGTAATTACTAAATAATATTTCGTAAAAAGGAATTATCATTTCGTAAATACAAATTAATATTTCATAAAAACATTTCGTTTTTAGGAATTAATATTTCGTAATTACGAATTAATATTTCGTAAAAACAAATTAATATTTCGTAAAAACAAATTAATATTTGGTAATTACGAAATAATATTTCATAATTACGAACTATTATTTCATAAAAATGAATTAAATGCCAGGAAAAAAGTGTCGAAAATGTCACCTTAGGGGCTATGTACATATGTGTTGTTGGACATTTCTTTTTTGCGACGGACGCGCCCTCAGGCGCGTTCAGAGCTAAGTCATCTACACATGGGATTTCGTTGGCTACACTCGCGCAATGTGTCCTAAACCAATTAACAGCCCAAGAAATAGTACATGAATTTGATCCTTTAAAACTCTCATACTTTGTCTGGATATCTTAATGTCTTCCATATTTAGCCTTTTCAATTTCAAATTAAGATTTTCCAAGTTAAAATATGAACGTATATTATTGATAAAAACGTTGTAGTCCCGTAGTATTAATGCGCAATATGCAAATTACTGCTGAAACGATTTACCGCTGTCGAAAAAGTAGGACAGCAAATTATACTTCAATAAAGGTGTAACCTCTGAGTTCCAAGACATTAATATTAGAAGGAAATAAATATTTCTACATTATACAAAACATTATTATTAACAAATCAAAAGTTTTTCGTGACTAGGATAAATCGCGCATTAATAAAAGAAGAACTATTTTCGTGACTCATACCGCGGGTTTAGCTGAATATTCAGCAGTTATTAATATATTAGATACAGTACAATGGCTAGTATAAATATCTATTTTTGAAAATGCATGTAAGACACTTTACCGCCATGTAGTCTTTCATGGTAAGTAAGTTATAATATCAGTTCTACATCCGATTCTTGTGGTTTGTTTACATATTTTACTAGGTCATGATATGAGTTAACCTTCGCTATTCTAAAAATAGATTCTGCTTCACCTGTTCTGATTTTTGGACAGGCGATTAGGAAGTACACATTAAACATGTAATTAATAAACCAGCGGATTGTAATGCAATACTTTTAGAAATGCTATACAATTGTAAGAAGCAAACAAGTTGAAAATTGAATTTAGTGTGAAGTTGAAAAGGACAACTAAACACTGTAGTGCTTAAGTGACATTTAAATTAAAATAAAAACGATGTGCTCTGGCCTCTACATCTTTACCTTGTAAATAAAAAAAATCTAAGAAATACACTATTAATTGCTGATGATTTTAACCAATTTTTTTTTAATGAGACATATCCAAGAGAAATAAAAATACAAATGACTTATATTTTATTGTCTGTATGCCCACTATGATATAACACGAAGCAATTCTAAATAGCATTCTCAAATGTATAATGTATTATGTTTGATGTTTATTTGCCTGGATTTATTCTAGAAATATTTCGTTTTTTTTTCTATTTACATATCATTTCTTAGAATCAATCGATAAGGACACTGATTTACAAGTTTGACCAGAGTTTTTAGGCATAAATTTCATTCTGTATTTAAGTGCTTGAAAGTAGAAAATCTTAATTATATCAATTTGGAACACAAAATATATTGCTGTACAAATCTCGAACTTGTATGGAACAAATTTTCTCTGTTATATACTTTGTGTTTTGTTTTTGTTTTGTTTTGTTTTTCTAAAAGAAGCCTTAATTAATGTCTCTCCGGTTGCATGTCCGTCTCATTCAGTGCTGCAGCACTTTGATTTATTTCTTTAGTTAGCCAAGAAAGGGTAACTACATGGTTCTTGTCAAACTTGACCTCTCTCTCTCACATTTATTGATCAGATTAACTTGTTCTTTCAAATTCAAGTCTTTCCATTTTACTTTTTCCATGATCAGATTTTTTAACAGACTGTGATAGCAATGATTGTAAGTGTCATTAGAATGCAAAATAAAGAAAGAATGACGTTTTTACAGTTTTTCAAGTAATAATAATAATAAAAATGATAATTCTTTTATTTCATGAAGGTAAAATATTAAAAAACACAGTCATGTCATATTTACAATATTGCCTTGCATTAAACAAGGTAAAAAACAATAAAATCCCAAATATGTAAACACATATATAAAAAAAACAACAACAAACATTAAAATCAACAGACACATGGATTCATCAGAATAATTCAAATTATTATAACAAGTAAATAGTTTTTCATTTTTCTTTTAAAACATATGAGAAGAAGATTCTTTACTACATGCTTTTCGATGGTTTATAGAAATATATCAGTGAAATAAAAACTGATAATTTCACTGTTTTAAGGGTCAAAATTGGCCTGGCCCCTAAGGGTCATTGGTTTTCCTTATATGTATATAGTAAAACCTTTAAAAAAAAAACTACTTTAAATAAAACCAAAGAGCTAGAGCTTAGATATTTAGCAATAAACATCTTCTAATGGGTGTTTACAAAGTTTGTTCGAATAAAAGCCTGCCCGAGGGGGTTAATGATTTTCTTTATTTGTATATAGTAAAAACTTAAAAAATCTTCTTCTAAAAGCTACTTAAAAGAGCTAGAGATTATATATTAAGCATGAAAAAATCTTCTTAGGGGTGTCTACCAAGTTTATTCAAATAAAAGCCCTTGGGTCAAAATTGGCCCCACCCAAGGGGGTAATTGATTATTCTCATATGATAAGTACATATCATTTCGAACTGTTGTTTTACCTTAGCAATAGAAATAATTATGGACTATTTCAGATACAATTATGAACTTTGTGATGGCCCTTAAATGATTTTAAATTTTCAAATTTTGTTCACTCCTGTTATACCACTGAAAATGTAAGGGATTAATCGCATACATGTGAACTCTCCCACTTTTAGCGGCAGACTCCCACTTTCTCCAGCCGTATTTTCAAAGATTTTACTTAAAATAAGGGTTTTTTTTTCTCAAATTAAAGAAATCTCCCTAGTTTTGATGTCAGAATTTCCTTCTTTGTTTATTGCAAATTCTAAAATCTCCCTCTTTTTGAAGAAAAATCTCCCACTTGATCATCAAAAAAAGTTTACATGTATGTAATCGGTACCCAAGTTCTTGTGCATATTACACAGGTTTTTAGGTTAAATAATTTTTGGTTGAGTTATGGCTATCATGAAGCAACACATGTGATCACTGATCATTCTTGTTTTGTTTTGGTAATATTATGTGAGAATAAAATGTAACTAAAACATTATGAAAGCACAAATTATATTATAATTATATTGACATTTGCATCAGTTTGACACACACAAGAGTTATAATTTTGATCAGTAGAAATACAAGTCTTAATACTGTCTGCTTTTGATCACATTTATTGGCCAGCCAATACCCCAGAAAGGAGTTTGCATATATGAAAGTTTGCTACATTGTTTCTTGCCCTTTGTTGAAGAGAAAGCAGGTAGCATTTTAATGCATTTTGAGGTCTGTTTTCTTGTTCCATACATTGTCCTAAAATGTTTAGAGCTGTTTCTCTATGTCCGAGGTTTACATCTGTTGCTATGGTTCTTATAAGTTTACCAAGTGCTTGTTGTTGATCTTGATGTCTTTGTAGATGACTGTAGATCTTGTATTGTAGGAAGTATAGGAAAGGTAGAGAATCAACTACAGCCCAGTCCATCCAAAAGTCTTCATACTGATCTCTGTGTATCATGTCATCTTGTGTAGATCTGAACATTTCATATTGTAGTTCATGAGGAACACAGTTGATCTCTTTCTGTATAAATCTGACACAAAATGCTGTAATATGTTTGATACAGTCCTCACTTTGTTCACCACATACCCTCTTGAATTCTGCTGTTACTGCTGGTGGAGGCTTATCCCAGCAGCTACAGATAGGTACAACAGGATAAGAGTAATATTGTTGTTCAGTGTGTCTCAGAATTAGTTCAGCTTTCTCCATATCTCCTGTACTGTAGAACACTGAAGCCAATTTAAGTCTGCTAGATGAGATATCTGAGTTTAAACCAGCTGATAACCAAACCAATGCTTGAGGTGACACTTGATTATTTTCACCAATGCTGGATGATGCCAGGATAGATCCATATGTGGTAAAAAGAAAAGGTGCTAGAAACTTGAATGCTGCCTGTACTAATCTATTACCATTAACGATGAAAGTAATAAATTTACCTATACAATTCTTCATTGCTCTAATGTTTTTTGTGTGTAAATGTCTTAAAACAAGATTATGAGTTATGCTTGTAATGTGTGCTGTGTTTAAATATTCTGAGGTCATATAAAATTCATGTATTGCAAGAGAAGATTGATAATAATATGCTCCATGTGGTACCATGTTCAGTTTAACTTGCAATCTATAGCCAAGATCATCAATATCAATTCTAAGTAACATTTGACCATCATTCTGTAAAAAATCACTTATATTTTTTGAAAGTTCATGTTTTTTTCCAGCTGTAAATTGCCCTGCCATCAAATTATTTTCTCCGATAATAAAATGTGAACAACGGTCATTCTGCACACAGCTATGTAATTCTAATAAGCAGTATGTTAAGCATATAAATAAATTGTTCTCTTTCCATATACTTGACTCTGTGTTTTCTATACAGTGTAATAGAACTGTTTTACACATGAAGCTTGATATGTTGATTTCCCCTTGAGGATTAAGGAAGGATTTAAGAATCATTTTCAATAATACATAGCACCTTATTTGTGTTATATTTAGATTGAACATAAGATGTTTTTCTGCCAGTGATGTAGATATTCTCCATTCAAGTTCAGGATATTCACTGACCTTACTTTCAGTTGGAACAACAAAACACCCAGTTCTGACTGCATATCTTCTCAAGTCTAGTGTTGGCCATCTGCCAATACCTTGTCTATCTAACCAACCTGATGCTGATTGAGGCCATGATTTACAAGGAAAAGCTGGCACATTGTCTCTATCACAGAATCCATCCTGTCCTTGTTCAGCAAGTGATGGTCCATGATCTACAGCACCCGGAATGATACCATTAAATTTTGTGTTTTTTAACAATATTCTTCCACTTCTATCAGTTATATGGTGTTCATCAGGAATGACAGTGACAGGAAGAGGTTCATCATGTCGGAGCAGTTGTAAGAAACAATAACCAGGGGTAGTGTTCTCATCCTGTATCATGAGGTAGTTTCTCTTGCCATGTTCCCACTCTGACCAGTCTTGTATTATATTGAAATCATGATTACAGTATAGTACATCAATGTCTGAATCAAGTCCTAAAGTAGTTGTACCTTCACTCTGACTCCCTAGATAATATTCAGTCATGTTTGTATCAGTTAACCTGTACATGATATTCCTCATAGTCTCTTTCAGCATTAAATGTCTTCTCCTTCTCATCACCATTCTTTCATTGACACCAATGTCATCTAAAACCTCTGATAAAGCCAATGATAGGTTTTCTCTGTAGTCAGGTTCTTGAAACATTCTGTAATATATTAATAAAAGGAAAAATTGTTGTAGTCACTCATTAAATTTATTTTGTCACATACTTCTACTTGTTTGTTATCTGCCCTATGTGGAAAAATAAGTATTGATATTGTGAAAATTTTAGGTAGATATCAATTAATAATAATAATAATAATAATAATAATAATAATAATAATAATAATAATAATAAAATGGTATTGTAAAGATTTGTTCCTTTTATCTACATGTATTTTTTTTTGATATTCTCCAAACTTAAATATTTGAATATTTATTTTTTAAATTTTATTGATGCAAATTTTTGCGAAAGGTTTCTGTAATGGTGGATTTTCTTCCACTATGTTTTGACTTAAAACTTTACTACTATAAATTCATAAAAAAACGTTATTTTTTTCCAAAAAGAAAAGAAAAGAAAAACAATTATAAAAGATATATAACTCACTTTTAATGCTTTGTTAATAGTAAATGTAATTATGTCCCTTACAATATTGTAAGCTTATTTGCATTCCTGAGAGTTACATTTATGATAATTATTTAAGGCTTTGATACATCAATATTATAGTTTAAAATTTTGATCAATTTTCAGTGTTTTTTATGTTTTTAAAAATTAACATTATATTAAATTGTAAGTTGACTTTGAAGACTCTTGAATCAAACACAATCTAAATTGATAATATAATATTAATATTGCATCAAATATTTTCTTAAATAATGTATTTATTAAAATGTAAAATTATGTGTTTAAAGATAAATTTAAACTTACTTTTAAAGTTGTATTTGACAGCATATGATCAGGATGTCTTTAAAATTATTGAAAAAAAATGTTTGACTTTCTGTTTGACAAAGTTGGAAATTCCTCTTTTGGAAGGGAAATAACTCACTTCCTCTTCCTGTTGTTATAGAATATAATTTGATTATTTCCCTTGTTTAAATTTGTTTTTGCTTATTTTAAGTGAAAAATTATAAAGGTATATAAAATAGTTATATGGCTATATCTCTTTTGATAAAATGTGTCATATATCTTTTAAGAATATGGTGATTTATTTTAATTGTACATTAATTTACATGCAATATTCTTTAAAAACATGTCTTAATAAATTCTGTTTTGAAGGATTTTTACTGTATAATATTATATAAACTTTATTCTGTATCACTAGAAATGATACAAAAACCTGACAAGAGTTTGAATAAATCATTTCATTTTAGACACAAGACATATACAAACCTATAGTCAGTGTACTTGTATGTTTTTCTACAACAACAACAACAACAACAATTACTTTTATTAATATCAGATTACAGACATGTAATAGCATGATTCATTTTGTTTAATATTGAAATATGGGTAAATAGATGGGGACAGATAAATACAAAGTTAATAAGTAAATAACATGTCAATCAATTTAACACAATATTTAAAACTATGTAGACCTTGTTAATATCATTATCTGTAATTTAAATGGTAAATAGGCACGTTGGGAGAATTGGGGTACGCACGGGTAAAGCGTGATAAGAAAACAAAATAATGTTACGAGAATTGGATCACGTGGAAATCGTGATCAGGAAAGGTATTTCATTGACTAGTGGATATGTTGGGAGAATTATACCACGAGAAAAACATAGTGGAAAACGTATGTCATTGACTGGGATATTTTAGAAACGGTAACAATAGATATTACATGCTACATGGTATTTAAGTGATAGAGAAAATAAATAAACATTAAATGACAATAGTAAATAAGTACGAACGATAGTGAACTGTATTATCAAAAATAAATAACAAAAAAACCGTCTGCTTGAGATTACAACGGCGAAAACAAACATGGATTTAAACATGCATATGATACCTGGGTAAGTGACTGAATAATAATATTCTCTAGGGACAAGTATTTCGGAAAAAAATTATTATCAAGTGTAAGAAAGTACTCAGATTATTAAGGACCACTAATGATTCTGCGGACATAAGTTCCCTAAATTTGATTACATTTGTCCTATTATAGAACCTTCTCGGAATATATTTCATTCTTTCATCAGTAAAAAAGGGACATTTAAGAAGATAGTGGAATTCGTCACCCACGTCATTTAGTGAACATAACATACACTTTCTGTCTTCATATGGTAGTGTACAATTTCGCCACCTGCCTGTTTCTACTGGCAATCTATGATTACCTGTTCTAAAATGGAATATTGTTAGTCTTTTATTTGGGGGTAATATATTTAAATATGGTTCAAATTTAATATCAGATTTAAATAACCTATAATTTGTTCCTTTCGAGGAGTTTGCTAAATTCTCGTTGAATTTCTGTATAAAAACTTGTCAAGTAATGTTCTTTTTATTAATTTACCTACGTTCTTTAAAGTGAAAATTTCTGGTTGATCCAATAGTTAGTATTTCCGGTAAAATCAAGAATATTTTTTACATAATTTAACCATTTGTAATTTATCTCTGAATTCAACATAAACTCATAACATTGCCTTGAAATTTTAGACTCACTGCCCATAAGAAGTTTACACCAATAATTTATTATTCTTGTTTTAATGACTATTTCAAGCGGATAACGACCTAGCTCACCATATAACATGTATAGGGGCGTACCTTTCTTGCTGTTTGTTATTTTGCGGAGGAAGTCGGTGTGAACCCTTTCGATTAAATCCAAATTTTCAAATCCCCATACTTCGCAGTTATATGTTAGTATAGGTACAATTGTTTGATTGAAAAGCTTTATCTGTACGTCAATTGGCAAGTCAATGTTAGCTATACGCATATATAGGATATGTAATGCCTTTTTAGCTTGAATTATTAACTGTTTTCGCGCTTTTAAAAAACTACCCGATGATGAAAAAAGAACGCCCAGATATTTATATTCTTTAACAATTTCTATTTTTTCGCCACTTAAGTTAAACATGTAATTTCCAGGTCTACTGGTTCCAAAAATAATGATCTTAGTCTTTTGCATATTAATTGTCAATTTCCATTGTTTACAATATTGGTGAAAATCATTTAACATGTTTTGAAAAGTTTTTTCGTCTTCACTTACAATAACAGTATCGTCTGCATATAATAGTACAAAAATTTTCAGATACACATCGATGCTTCCATGTTTTCGTTTAAGTTCTATTCCCGCGTTATTACTATTAAGATATTCTTCAAGGTCATTTAAATATATTGAAAAGAGAACGGGGGACAAATTTTCCCCTTGACGTACCCCACAACATGCTTTTGAAAAAGGGGGAAATATTACCGTTTAAAGATACACATGATTTAATATTTGCATACATATTGAAAATAACATTAAATAGTTTCCCGTTTATTCCGTTTTTAAGCAGTTTGTTCCATAATCCTACACGCCAAATTTTGTCAAAAGCGGCCGAAAAGTCTATGTAAGAACAAAACAATTTTTTCTTTTGTGATTTAAGGGTGTCAATGAGAAATTTAAGAGTAAAAATGTGGTCTGTGGTTGAAAACCCAGATCTGAAACCGGCCTGATTTTGTTTAAGGATATCTAATTTACTTAAGAAAGAGTTTATGCGTTCGTTTAATATGGCAGTGAATATTTTCCCAAGGCAACTTAATATTGTGATTGGACGATAATTTCCTGGGTCTAATTGTGAACCTTTTTTCTTGTAGATTGGCATTATAGTGCCGATAAGCCATTTTTCAGGTAAAATCCCAGTATCAAAAATTTTATTAAAAAATTTAATGTAAATTGGTGTCAAAATGGACTTAGTACTTTTAATATATTCATTATAGATGAAATCTTGCGGTGAAGCTGCTTTGGAATTATTGCATTTGTTTATCATTTTTAATATTTCAATTTCTGTAATGGGCTCGTTCAAAATACTGTCATCTATAGTTATATTTGGTTCCGCTTGATTAGTTTGTATACAATCATCATAATCGGGGTCGGAATTTACTTTTTTAAAGTGATTATAAAATTCATTGATATCTGGCGTAGTATTATTAGGACATGTATTATTCAAATTGTTCAAAATTTTCCAAAAATCTTTCGGTTTTTTAGAATGCATTTCTCTTAATTTACGTTCGTTTCGTGTTTTATGCTGACGTATATATGTATTCATTGTTTGTTTATAAAATCTAGCGGCACGATTTAGTTCTGATTTATATAGGTCATTCTTATGCAAGCTGTACATTTTTCGTGCGCGGTTATATTTACGTCTCGCTTTATTACATTGAGGCCCGAACCATTGGTTTGTTTTTTGTTTGTTAGATGTTTTATTTAAAAAATGATCATCGTTTAAAGGAGGTTTTGACGGAAAAGTCTTAAATGCCGAATGATTAAAGAGGTCTGCAATTTTTTCTGAAATTATGTTGATTTGAGTTTTTGATATTTCACCGTTTAGTTCATTTAAGGATAGTTCAATCGATTTGAGGTCTTTTTCATCTAAATTTAGGACAAACTCAGAAGAGAGGTTATTCCTCCATTTCGGCGGCTTTATAAACTGACTTGACGTTGTTTTATTATGATCCGTTTCTGTACTTTGGCTATCAAGACACGAAAAATGTATTTCGACTGTTAACAATGAATGTCCATCCGAAAATAATGCATCAACTTCTTTAACTTCAAAATCTGATAGAAAGGGAAACAAGTGAACTGAGCCTGCCATGTAATCTATAACGGAAGTATTTCTAAAAGTGAAGTTTCCCTTGTTTCGGTCTTTACCTACTCTACCATTTAATATGTATAAATTATTACATTTACATATATCAAGGAACTAATATGCCCGACAGCATTGTTTTTCGTGTCCATAGAAGTTCTTTTAAGCGGGACATTACATTTTTCGAGTATTTCGAAAGAGTTAAATACACTCATGAATTGTTCATCAAATTCGAACTGTTTTGATAAAAAATCATCTATAATGACAAAATCATCAGCGTAAGAGGTATGACATCTAAAGTGTATATAAATATCTGAAGTGTGTGTGTGTTTGGGTTTGTTTACCCTCGCCACCGGAAAGAGACCATATGGGCGAGCATATATACTTCATTTATAACCTTTTAAAAAGGGGGAGCTTAATTTTAAATTATTTATTGTTATATCCGTACATGTGTTTATGTGCATACCATATCCCCCATGACAGGGTAGTCTCTACGTACAACCTCTGCCATGGGAGGAAGATGGGGCAATCCCATACTAAGATTAAGAATTCTAAAATTAAATTATTAAAAAGCACTTATTTTAAAATTGGCCAAGACGTTTATAGAAGTTACCGTCTTTTATAACAGGTCTATCTAATATTTAGTATAACTAAAAAATTTTAAAATATTACCTATAATTGTAGAGTTCGCATACTTGCGAAGAAGGCATGTCAGGAACGTTTTCTGACCAATTCATTGTGGGCTGACTGTTATTTATGTTGGTTTCTATTTAAATGTTATAAACCGTATACATTGGGATGCATATAATTAATTACATGTTTGTAATTAGCAGAGTTTGTTTTAAATTTTGTAATTTTTGTAAGTTCTACCGAACACCCGCTTTATAAAGTTAATTTTGATTGGTTTAGAGAGGATTGCCTCCTTTGTTCTCATTGGCCGAAAATTCTCTGTTTACAAAATAAGGAGGTCAATCCGATTTTCTTGAAAATTCTGCAAGTTTTGTATTGACCTATTTCGACAAGTTTGTCGCGCGGACTGGATAGAAATTTTGCGGGTGCCCGTTGCATCCAATGTATACGTGTTTTTACCAACTTTATTTCAAAATTAAAACAAATATGATAGTTAAAATGTGGTGGAAACGGCCTTATCTATTTATCACTGTCTCATGGTCTATAAATTATTATGCATCTAGATATCACACATAATAATTAATCTTCTATTACTTAAACAATTCATAGAAGAATAAGAAAAAATCTAAGTCCCAAATATGGCTAATAATAATAACTTGGTTACCCATAATGTGATGAGATAGTCTTTATCTGAAGAAAAACACTTAAACCTTTTGTTATGATCTGCTTGAATGCT